TGTTTATTAAAAGAAATTGAGATTTTCATGAAAGTTGAAATAAATCTAATAAAAAAAAACAATAAATAAACAAATAAATAAAATAAAATAAAGAATTTAAAAAAACAAGAAGAAACAAAAAAGGAATGTTTGAAAAAAATTCTAAAATATGGTAAAAGAAAAAGCTCCATACATTTTTTACAAAAATTCCTCAAAATGTAGCAAAAAAATATTATTAAAAAAAGTATCCTCCAATCTTAAACAATGCTTCAAAAGAGAAAGAGAATTTAAAAATAAAAAAAGCAAAAAAATTGGCAAAAATTTACCGAAAATTATATATTTGAATCGAATCCAATCACACTGAGAAAAACTTGTAGTTTTTTGTTTACTATTCAGCTTTATAAGTTAAACAAAGTCATATTTTCAAATCATAAGTTACCACACAATTATCATTCAACATGACATCCCATTTCATGAAAACAATTTCTTAAAAGAAAAAGGTATTTTTTCTCGCTACTCATAAAAGCATAATAGATGTTAAGATCCTGGTTTTAATTGCGCAATCGAGTGTAATCTTCTAAGAAAAAGAGGGGCGAGTCGAAAAAAGAATCTCAAATTTTGAGGGACAAGGTCAAGTGCTTAGCCATATGACCCCTACTCCACACCAAGGTAGAAACGTGAATCATTATATTAAGTGTGATGATAACACTTATTTAGCAGACCGATTGTCACGTATGCGGAAATAGGAGGTAATCGCGTGATGTAATACTTTCGCTCGCCAACTAGGCCGCCTATCCGCCAACTATCAATAAACAATTAATGATATTATTTAAAACTCATTGTAAGATAGAAATCTATCTTAGAAAGATTCCCACTCATTATTTTGAAAGAAAATAATGCCAAAAGCAGAGTTCTTTATTTATTTTATTTTAAAAAGAGAAATTTTTCTAAAAAGGAATTATGATATCATTATATCAATACAACAATGTTTATTATGATTTAATAATATAATTCCATAATAAAATGTAATTTAATTTAGCAAAAAAATTTTAAACTACGCTTATAAGTTAATACATACTTGCAATTATTTCTAATTTTGCATTAATTAATCAGTAGAAACTAATTAAGCTAATTTACTTCAATAGTTTTTAAACATGTCTTTCTTTTAATGAGTGAAATTACACAGTTGCAGTCACGCAATTTACCGTAACAAAATAATTCCATAATAAAATACAATTTAATTTCATAAAAAATTTAAGCTATCTTTGTAAATTAATACATACTTACAATTATTTCTATTTCTTAATTAATTAATCTGTTGGAACTAATTAAGCTATCGAACTTATTTGCTTCAATAGTTTTCAACCATGTTTTTCTCTTAATGAGTGAAACAACGCAATTTTCCTTAGTAAAATATAATTTAATTTCGTAAAAAAATTAAACTATGTTTGTAAAATAATACATACATGCAATTATTTCTATTTCTGAATTAGTTAATCTGTAGGAACTAATTAATCTATCGAACTTATTTGCTTCATTTGTTTTAAATCATGTTTTTCTTTTAATGAGTAAAAATACACGGTTATATCTACGCAATTTTCCATAATAAAATAATACTATAATAAAATATAATTCAATTTCTTATTAAGTTTTAACTATATCTGTAAATTAATATATACTTGCAATTATTTTTTTTCTGAATCAATTAATCTGTAGGAACTAATTAAGCTATCGAACTTATTTGCTTCAAATGTTTTCAACCATATTTTACTCTTAATGAGTGAAATTATATGGTTAAAGCAACGCAATTTTTCTCTAATAATTTAATTATAATTTTATTAAGTATAAATAACGTTGTTAAATTATCAATAATAGTAACACAAGATAAGACGTATATCATTCTTTTAAAAATAAACAAATAAATAAATCACAGAATCATATTGGTGTAAATCATCTTTATAAACAAGATTTTTCTTCTATTGTTTCAAGCAACTATTTCTAATTTTGAATTAATCAATCTGTAGGAACTAATTAAATACTAAACTCATTTCCTTCAATTATTTTCAACCATGCTTTTCTATTAATGAGTAAAACTACATGGTTCCAGCTGCACAGTTTTCCTCGTAATTTAATTACAACTTTAATGTTAATATTAATAAATTATTATATTTTAAATAATAGTAAAACAAGACAGGACCTANTCAATCTGTAGGAACTAATTAAATACTAAACTCATTTCCTTCAATTATTTTCAACCATGCTTTTCTATTAATGAGTAAAACTACATGGTTCCAGCTGCACAGTTTTCCTCGTAATTTAATTACAACTTTAATGTTATTAATTCAAAAATATAAATATTAATAAATTATTATATTTTAAATCATAGTAAAACAAGATAGGACCTATTTCTTTTAAAGATATACAAATACAAATCTGACGGAATCATATTGTCGTAACTGGTTGGTATAAACAAGATTACGCTTTAAAAGAGAATTCACGACTTTACAACATGTGTGAAATAAATTCCAAAAACACTGATAACAGTAAACTTAAAAGCCCCTCAGTTTTACCAAGGCCAGAACGGAAAATTTCTGGATTTCCTAGCTCCAGCTCCGCCTTCCAGATAATAAAAGCTCCGTCAGGTTTAATGCGCGCTTTTGAGTTTCAGATGTTAATTTGAAACTTTCATTATAAAAATGAAAATTAATTAGTATTAAATAGAATATGGTTTTTTAATTATAAAAGTGAAATGATTTTTAGATAGTAGTGAGATTAGATATTAGAATAAAAATAAAATACATCATGACCCAATTTAAAAGAAAAATAAATAAAAGGTATCAGCCAGAATCTGACATAAATTATCTTTAATTGTAGATTCATCTAGAAATTAAAATCACAAAAATCACTATCTTTTTTTAAAAAAAGTCTAAAAACCATTTTAAACCTGAAAAAAAAAAAAAAAAAACAGGAGGGAAAAAGATTATTACTGAAAAACAAAAAAACGTGGGGAAATTTTGAGCTCTGGCTTCGGGTCCCTGCTTGAAATAGTTAAATTCAACTAAAGATTACCGCCAGTAAAATGTAATTAAAAATATAGGGCAGACAGACGGATATTGAACAACAGTAACTAACATTAGGAAAGGTTTTAATCTGGTAAATTTGACCATAAAGGAATTTAAGATTCTAAATCTACCTGTTTACCTCTGACATTAAATTTAAATTGGCGCATTGAAACTCAAATAAAAATATTTTTATAGTACAACTTTGCTTTCTTCCCCTTTTTCAAATAATCGCAAGCAAACATACACCTTGAGTAATAAAGGTTTCCCGAATACTAACCATGAATCCATAAATCATCAAGTCTAGAATATCTTAACGTTTCTCGCATCGGAAGTTAAATTTCACATCAATTTTTAATGGATTAGGAAAACACCATTCTTCATCAACTACAGGTAATCGATGTATTTGTGTCAGCTAGAAAGGGTTAATACTGTCTCACATAGAGCTACACAGTAGCAGATGTAAAGTGGCTACCACGGTTCAAATACAACAACCAAACACATTCTCAGTTCTGCATATTAACCCTTTTTTCAAACCCTACAGCCTCCCACTTTCTTAAGAGGCAATCCTTCATCCAAGGGAAGAATAGACGAGTTGACCTTTTTTTTCCTAAGACTCAATCAAATTTTACCAGATCAAGGACTACGATGGAGTGAGTGGAAGTTTTTTTCGCACCTTATTCATCACTTTCAAATCGAACAATAAAAGCACCTCAGACTGCATCCACCTTTAAGGAGGCAAGGAACAAAACTAATAAAAAAATATTTAAAAAAAAGTAGAATGGAACTAAGCTAAGCTTACATTTTCCAGTTCCGTTTACTTTTTCCGACGGCAACTGACATCTGATAAGATTTATATGAGAACTTGATGTGATGTAATATTGCCGGCGAGAGAAATGTCCGGATTGAAAACTTTAAATACCCAAGGGGTTAAGCAGATGAATTCTGCTTATCTCTGCTATAAGCCATCTGGCGAGGTTCGATTACGCAAAAATACGTTTTGGAATAGGATGCGGCAAATAAAATTCCAAGCACGTTTACCATTCTTTTTTAAATCAAAACAAACATATTTTGACGGTTTCTTAAGTATTGGATGAAAACCATATGCTTTCAAACAATTAATTACAGGAAGCGATAAGTGATCAATATTAAATAAAAACAAGGTCATCATTTACTCATAAACTAATAGAAATTTCTGAGAATATTGAACCGTAATATTAGTACTGGGCAGATACCTTTTTATGGTGTTATGTAAGACCATATTATCGAAATTCTCAATTCAGATTACACGATATTATGGTTCATTTTGAGTTAAAACATGGTTAAATCGTACAAATATTATAAGTCAATGTCGAATGAATTTTTATAAAAATCTGCGCTCATTATTTCCATAAAACTACAAATATTACCAAATTACAGTTAAAATTTTTTTTAAAAAATGAAACCTCGAAGCAGAGCTTATTAACCTAATAAGCTTTTTACTTTTTGGGTTAATTTATTTATTTCTCTCTAAAAAAATAGAAGTTTACTTCTTTTTATAAGGCATTAAAATTTAGTACATTTAGAAATATTTTCAAAAGTTATATTTTTGTTTAACCTCAAGACCTACCTACATTTGCATTTAAATTAGGCATTATCAATTATCGAAACAACTTGCTTTTTGAGCAAGAAATCAAAGATTTTACAAGATTGCTAGATTAGATAATAACAAAATGTAATGATCTAAGCATAAATGTTATTGGAAAAAGAGAAAAGGAAATTGCTGGGTTAAACATGCAACAAACAGGTCGGGCCGTTAAATTTTTTTAAAAATCTGTTACACATTATGTTTTTTTAGTTATTACTAAACTTTATTAATTTCCAATTAACATCAAATTGAACATTCCAGCTTTCGAACAGTAAAATTTTGATATTTTTTACTTACTTTATATAAATTAATAATTTTTGTTTTTAAATTTTCAGAACAGTGAATCAGATTTACCAGAATGCACAGCGATGTCAGTTTGCAACAGAGTTGATACTTATTCTACTCCGTGGATTGAACGGCAATGTAGATGTCCAGGAAAAAAAGTATGTTCTATGTCAATTGATGCCAAAGATGGATATACTGTCGTAGACAAATCAAGGCAATATAAAGTAGGTAGATCAACACAAACTGGTTTGAATATGATAGTTTTGTAATTTTTAATAAGCAATTGGTATAAAATTTACACTATGTATAACTTAATTCATATATCATTAAGTTACTGGAAATTTAAAATAAAAAAATTAAATCGTTCACATCCAATTAATCTAATCAATCACCTTCAATCTTTCACAAAATTAAATGAACAATGGTAATTGAAAGTTAAGTTTCCTAATCTGTCCTTGTATAAAACAATTCCATCAGTAACAATTTTTCTGATAAGAAATGGTTAAATATTAATTTAAAAAAATTAGATGGGATTATAAGATATTTAGTTGATATTTGTTGCTATTAAAGATCTAACAAAAATGCACATATTAAATAAAAATTTTTGTTGGCGACTTTTATGTCATTATATTGATTTTCAATGTAAAACAAAACTCACAACTTAAATATAGATGATCAGTAAATCATTTATATATTAAGTAAAATATTTTCCTTTATTATCATTGATAATATTTAGATAAGTAAAGATACAAATAGTTTGATTAAACTTAGCTATCAATACAACCATGCTTGATAATTAAATACTTCTTAATTTTTCATCTGTTTCTTTTAATTATTGTTTTTAAAATGCATGCTTTGAAGTAGCTCATCACAGTTTGAAAATACATTCCTATCTAAATTAAATTAATTTTGAAGATTTGTGAAGATTGGATTTTATAATACTTAACAAAAAAATAAATAACAGTAATTACAACGAAATAAAAATAATAGTAAAAAAAATATAATAGTAAGAATAACAGTCAATTAATTTAAAACATGCAACAAAATCGAACGACTAAATTTTTAATGTGCAAATTAAATAAGTTTTTAAGAAAGGGGGTAAATAAAGTATAGTTATTTGCAAGTGATACCAAAAAAAGAAAGAAAAAAAAGACTGCAATAGTATAATGATAGAATTTCATAATCATTTTTCAATATATTCATGAGTTTACTCCTCCATGCAATTTTTTCATTGTAAGCAAAAACTTTTCCTTTTCAAATCAATAGAAATAGAGAAAAATTACACGTCAGGTGAAAATTAACCACACATCTTTCAAGATGTGTGGGATAACCAGGGATAAGAGTGTGGTTAATCTTCCAGGGATAAGATTAACCACACATCTTAAAAGATGTGTGGTTAATTTCCAGCTGACGTGTAATTTTTCTGTATTTCTATTGATTTGAAAAGGAAAAGTTTTTGTTTACAATGAAAAAATTGCATGGAGGAGAAAACTCATGAATACCTTGAAGAATAATTATGAAATTCTATCATTATACTATTGCAGTCTTTTTACTTTGGTATCACTCGCCTGTTTCAATAATAATCCATTTGTGCATTATTTCGTTACGAATGAGTGCAACTCCAGCGTATTGCATTAATCGATTAATGGACAATAATATAGTCCGGATTTATTCACATAAGAAAGAAAAAATTAACCATTAAGTTATCTATTTTCTTGTACAGTTTGTCTATGTAAAGAACTCTCCTAACATTTCGCCTGGAGTAGTGGTTAGTTAATCATACATATATTTTTTTGTCAGCTGACGGTCATCTTAATCGAATGACTGTATTTAACCATGGTCAGTCCAACACTATTTGTGCTTTTGATAGCGAAGCCATCCATGCTTTCGTGCAGAATATCCATTATCCCCACACTGATAAATTGTACATAAGATAATGGAACTAATTTGTTAAAATCAAACTCCAGTATCGTAGGTACTCCGGAAGGTATTATGAATGGTATAAACTACTCTTTACAATATTTTCGTTATAATTTTAAATTTGAAAATGATACGTTATATTAATAGTTGAAGTTTGTAAAATGAGCAATATATTTGTATTTTTAGCTATGTGAACCTGTGAATCGCCTACCTACCTGCCGTTATTTTAGGGACATTACCTGGACATACGCCACATACCCGGACAACACAACAAGACAAACAATGCATTGCATGTGTCCGAAAAACAGTGTTGCTTACATATTCAAGCATGAGTCATACAATACGCCCGAAGGAGTGGCAATTCTTTATTTCCTAGCATGCTCCCCACAAAGTGTAAGTATTTTAATATTTATTTTAGTTTGAATATATCTCATATTTTTACAATATAAGTATAAAGGTAATGTGAGCAAATTTCAATATTTTTCACGTAATGAAATCTGACAATTTTTCCTTATAGTACAACATACAACTCCTTACATTTATAATAAAAAAATCGTTAGATTTCGTCAAAGAAAAATGCTAAAATTTACATAAATAAAAATTGCAAAATTAAAATACGAATCTAGTTTGTGACTTTAAGAGAACGCCATACCAAGGGAGAAACTTTCCGTCGCAAATTCTCTTTCACCAGCATTAATTTTAAAAATGCCGAAAAAAATTTTCAAAATATCAAAATGCAAACAAATTATTGGAAGAGAACTTCACCATTGCGTCATCCTAAGTTATCTTCTGATAATTTATTGTCATTTGGATTTTTAAAAATTTCTTTTCAATTTTTGAAATTTCATGGCTTATTCTAGGTTTCTCTGAATTCAGTTTTTCTTTACTTCAAATTAAATAGCTATAGAGGTAAATGAGAATTTGATACGAAAATTTTCTACAGCGGTATGTCGTCTTCCTAAGTCAGGACAACGATAAAACAAATCACAAAAAATCATTTACCGTCAGAAATATCTTGTTCAAGCTTATTAAATCTCCAGACCAATAAAAATATATCCATTTTAATAAAGCTAATTTTTGAAGCGATACAATCGGAAATTCAGTCAGCGTATAAAAACAAAATAATCCATTAATGGAGAAAGTAAATTGGCAGGATTTAAAAAAAAAAGGAAGAAAAATAATAACAATAAAGGCGCAAGACAGTTAGTTAGACTGACTTCTTTTATGTGGCACACAGCTGTAATTCTAAACGGGCCACTTAATTTCATCTCCAAAACTTTCGCATGACTTCAGCATTTAACATCTTTCGAGATTGAAGACAAAGGCCGGATACGGATCGTGACCATAGAATTGAATGAGAAGTATTTTTCAAAACTTGGGGTAACACACGGGCAGTGCACTTCCTTTTTTAAAAGACGGTCAGTTTCTGTTTTTCTCTCTCCCCCGCAGAGTAAAAAAGGGCGTTTTAAAAAACAAACACAAAACCTAAAGGAAGTGCGAATAGTTACACTGTTTTAAGAATAGATCCTCAGCGAGGTGGAGGAACATTTGATGTCATTATCAATTTATTTTTCTTGAAGAAACTACAGAAACAATAATGTTTCAAAACAATAAGCCTTGAAAACTATTTTTAGCCCTTCTTAATGATGGGTAACTTCCCTTCAAATAAATCTAGTCCCCGCTTTATTAGTCAACTTGCTTTTCATGTTTTTAACCGGATACAAAATTATGTGATGCGTTTTTGTTGAAGAATAAAAAGCAGCATTCTGTATTTATAGTGAACTATGCATTCCAGTTTTAAACTATACATGAATTATGCTAATATTTAGACTTATTACTGTACTAAAACATACTTAGTACTGAATATTGAAGGAAAATGGTGGAGAAATAGTGCTTTGTTTCAATAACATCAAATTCTGACCAGGGTTGCAAAAAACCTGGGTTTTAATGGGCTTTTCTGGGTTCTATTGGGCTTTTTCTGGGTTTTTTTTTTATGTTTTAATGGAGTTTTTTTCGAAAGAGAGGGCAGGGATAAGTACCTTATTTTAAAACAGCATATTTTAATATTAATAAAGTTTAATTTTATAAATTGACTTAACATATAGGTAATTAATAATTAATACAAATAAATTGATGCAAAAGCCTGAAAAAAGTTTCCTCTGACATCACTACACAAAATGTTATATGTACTCACACACATCACACATTTGAAACTTATTTTAACACAGGATTACTTTTTATTTATATTTTAGTTGATTAATTTGATTTAGTATTTGATATTAATTTGAGGAAAATATTTTATTTGCTTAGAAAGCGAATCGAAGGCACTGACTAATCAATAGCCATACAGTCAAATCTAACCAGCAAGGTGACTCACGCGTCTCCAACATATGTAGTTTTTTCACCATAGGTTAGTTTTTTTAGGCTAGACTACATATATATTTAAATAGAATAGCTCTTCAATATAATAGAGGATAAAAAAGAAATCAATCTTAGAAAAACCCAGTAAAACCCACTTTAGGGTGGGTTTTTCAGAATGGGTTTTACTCAGTAAAAACCGGGCTGGTTTTACTGGGTAGGTGGGTTTTTTGCAACCCTGATTCTGACTCTTCTCCCCCCATTCAACTGGTTTTTGACAATAAAACATTTAATCCTCAATATTGAAAAATTTTGATCCTCAATATTTGATCCTGCAAAATGACTAAATTTTAGAAAATTTGATGTTTTCCCATAACTTACTGTCAGACATTCCCTAACAAGTAAACATTCTAAGGTGTTGAATAGAATTTTCCGTTCAAAAAAGATTGTTGCTTAGGTAACATGGGGTAAAAAAGCTAAGAATTAAATCAAACTAATTTTAATTACTTAGCAATGAAGGGAATTTCATTAAAATTTCCCCTAAAAAGCATATTAATTTAAATAACTTCCCTTAAGAGGATTCTATACTACTCTAGAAACTTTTTATATCAAATTGTCTTGCACATTTTTGGATTTTTTAAAATTCAAAGTATAGAAAAACTGAGTTTAAGCAAACCTAAAATAAACCATGAATTTTCAAAAATTGAAAAAATGTTCTAAACATATCATTATACAAATTAATCACTAAAGGACAATTTCCCCACAAAGTAATCCTATCGTAATTGGTTTACATTTTGGTATTTCGAAATCTTTTTTTTTTCAGCATTTGAAACATCATGGCTTATTCTAGGTTTGCCTGTACCCACTCTTTCTATGCTTTAAATTTTATAAAACTTATTGGACGTGAAAGATACTTTATCGCGAAGAATTTCTCCAGTGATGTAGCATCCTCTTAAAAATCACAAAGTGTCTACGAAAATAATATATTTCATATATATTTTACGTCAGCACTGTGGTCGGTGTGAGCCGGGGGCGGAATTCGCATCGATCATCCGTGGTTGGGATTCGAACCCGAGCCACCTCATTGGAAGGCGAGCGCTTTACCTCCTAAACCAACACGGCTCAGACGGTTTCATTTGAAAATGTACTTTGTTTACATGTGTACAAGTTTTGATCAAATTTTGATGCATGCCCTATTTTCTTTACAGAAAATGAGATGTCAGCGTAAAGAGCCCTGTCGACTTTTCACTGTAAAGAAAAGACCTGACGTTGAAGAAGTCGGCACGAACACTCTGTGTCAATGTGCGAGAGGGCATCGCTGTCCACAACATCACAGCGAACCTTCCGTGATATCCAGCCCTTCAAGTTTTACAGAAGAACACATTCGGACTTATAGTGGGTACTGCACATCAGAATTGCCCACACTGTAGTGTTCGTAATGTGTCTCAATGAGACACGGATTTTTAATTTATGCATTTGAACTTCAAAAACTGAATGAAGTAGTGTTGTAAAAATGTTAGAGTGTAAATTAGTGACATTGAAAAATTGCGATCTGTGTATATAAAGTATTCTGCTAAGAGTTGCCATGAAAAAGTATTTAAATAGGCAACATGAATTACTTTAAAACTCATATACAGTATATTTATTATATAAATGAATTCGATGCAGTATGTTGGAAGAAATTACACAAGCATCAACTGAATTGTTGGTGCCATGGAATTTAACGAGTTTGCTAAGCACTATTTAAAGAATTTGAAAGTAGACAGAAGTATTAAGTTAAAATACAATGATTTTAATGAAATGACATGTAAAATCCTAATGACAGTGTTAAATGACAATGATATTTAACTTCTTTTTTAAGAGCAAATTTTAATTCATAGAATTCGTTCAATAGTTACTGAAGAGCTCATTTTACTTTTAAAAAATTTTTTATTTACATTTCATATTCTTAATTTTTTATCTATAAATTTAAATTTTTAAAAATGTAGCTATTAAGTATAATTTAGCAAATATTTATTCTTATTGAATAAATAATGTAAAAAACGTGATGTCAGTAGCAATTACATAAATAATTGAAGAAACCTTTTGATAGTTGATGTAAATGAATTAAGACAATGCATTTCTAGAAATGTTTATGATTTTTAAAATACTATTCTAACCAAAATATTAATGAAAATGCTGCATTTATTTTAAAAATTTTCTATTAATATTTTAAATTGATGAATAAAATTGCAATAATTACTATTATAAAATAAAAATAATCTTTAGGCCTTTTTTTTAATTACTAATTTGAATTTATAAGTTCTTCGTGATAATTTTTATTTCGCGAATTCGACTTCTGATATAGGAAAACGGAATAATAAATGAGATTTATCTTAATACGAATTTTTAATCTGGTTCGTTTTCTTTGTTTCTGTTTAGTCTGATAATTATAATCCAATTACGTCTAATTAAAATTCTCATCTTTAATTATTATTTTTATTAATTAGTTAGTTGTAATATATTAATTAAAATTCCTTCTAAAAGTAAATACGACAAATGACATTCATTAGTTTTGTAATTATAGAGTAAGATAAAAATAAATTTCTTTTTCGATATGTAAGCAAACGAAGAATAAATGACATTTAAAATACTAATCTGATAAAAGAATCCGATCATTAAGGTAGACACGAGTCAAGTGATATGTGCCTATTTTCACGCTTGACCAACTACGACTATTCCCGTGAAAGCACAAAGAAATTTTTCTCCGACGAAAAGGAGAATGTTCTAAAGGTGAAGTCCAAGGTGCCCAGTGACACGGCCCACTGGCTAACGGCGGTCAGAGGTCCTATTGCAGAAATGGATGGCCTTTGCACAGATTCTCAACCCTTTATGAATAGTACCCTATGGGAATCGAACGTAGTGAATCCTTCCCATGCTCGACCTACGAACCAAGACGAATCCGGACAAAATAATTGGTAAATCTTTAAAAAGGTTTTTGGTGAGTCCCAGAAGAGAAACTTCTTCACACACCCACAATTTTCACAGCTGAAGTCCGACTTCCGATTCTAATTCCATTGAGAGCGAGCCACAAGCTAATGATAGAAAGCGATTTCTGTTTTGGTTGATCTTCACCTTTTATGAGAGATACATTTGGGAAACAATAATTTATTTCAGACTTCCGATTGTTTGGAAATGTTCATATAAATGACAGCAATTTAGTATCAAAGTGGGAAAGTAAATTCATTCGTTATCGTTTCCGAAAATCAGGCAAGCAATCAAAATCTTTTACAGAGATAGCTTAAAATGAAAGAAATTGTCTGCTCGTATTTATTTTGTTTAATGGGTGCAATTTCTTTGTTAAAGTCTGCACAAATTTTGGGGGAAAAAAATATTAAATTGCTCCTTCTTTTTTTTCTTTCTTTTTTTTGGATTAAAAGTTTTGGAGTTTCCGGTGATAAATCAAATAATGTTTATAATGAATATCGTATTTACTTCAAACTATTTAAAAATAGGAATTATTCTTTAATAATGCAATAATAATTTCTAGAAACTTTCAATAATAAATTGTTTTCAATTCCGTTTCTTATTTGAATAGTTCCTGTTATTTTGAAGGGAAAAAAAATCAATTTGCATGATTCCTACTCTTGTTTCATCATTACTTATTAAATGAATACTATTATATAATTTATCCATTTAAAAAAAAATACGTTATACTTAAATAATCTGAAATTATATTTTATGTTTATTTTCCTTAAATTTAGACGTGAATAAAGAAAATTTTCATTGAACTCTAGAATAGTTAGATACATATACTAGTAAAAATATGCTGTTAAAAAATACGGCGTATATATCATGCGAATATTAAAAACAAAATATTAAAAAGACTTTATAAAAATGTAACTATCATTTCATTGAGAAGGAATTAATTGAAGTTTTTGCGCTAAGAAAATATTCCCTTCAGTTTTAATCAATAAAAAAACTTCCTCAAAATGTAGACATCGTAAAAATGTATCTTTGTGTCATTTCACTGAAAATGAATTAGTGGAGTTTTTACGATAAGAAAATATACAATTCATTTATAATCAAGGCACTAGAATGGATAGAAACCACTTCACTAACAGTGCCATATACACAGGTTAATTTAGTAATACTCAACATTTTGTGAGTGAATAAATATTCTTCTCTAAACAACATAAGCTTGCTTTTAATAATCATTTTAATGACGTCATCATAAACAAATATGGAGAGTTTTATGAGTGTTTCACTTTGTGCCATTTTATACTCAAATTTGACTTTTAGTGTGAGAGTCAATATATTTGAGTTGATTTGTTTTATATGTAAAAATGTACAGTGTACAGAACAGAACATAAATAAAGACAAATGAACTATTTTTTTTAAGTGTTTGTATCTTTTATTTCTTTATCATCGATTCCACTTCTTTGATACATTTTGAGAGTCCTGTTTCATTTGATATAAGTTGATATAAAAACTGCCGGCGATAAATATATTTTACCAATATTTAAAAAAAATAATAACAGCAGTAGAGAATTTAATAAAAAGAGAACGAGATAAAAGGAATTGGTTTACTCAAAAGGTTCTTTTTTTAACGATTTTTATTTGGGACAATTTAATTATTATTTTTTTAATTGATGGTTTTTTTCACTCTCCCATGTTAATATTAAAATGAGTACAAGATTGATGAAGAATATTTGATAAACATGAAAATCATGTTTTTAGATATTTCCAAATTATACGCCTATTAAATNTTTTAATTTTTTTTTTTTTTTTGAGAAATTAAATTAGCGTCGAAGGTTTAATTTTTTATTTTCCCAGTATGTATTTTGACCTAAAAAATGAATAGGAATATAAACACTAATACCTATAAATAACGCCTACGAGCTCCAGCATACTAAAAACGCAACACAAATAATTTTAAAAAGTAAATAAATAAATTTAATTCGAATTGAACGAGAAAAAAATCAGATCCATTGTTATTATAAACAACAGAAAATGACTACTCTAATAAAAGTTTTCAAAATTTTAAAAAAAATTAAATTCCTTTAAAATACGATAAAATTTGGAACAACGTAGTAGAGTAAACTAACCAGTGAAGTAGCATTTAAGCTTCGCTCACCTTTTAGAAAATCATATTAATTTCAAAATTCGTAATTTTAGTTAAATGACAGTGTCAACATATTTGTTACTAATGGTAAATTGTGTAAAAAAATTGCAGAGAACTAACATAATATTGTTTTAAAGTTTTGGAGATTCAAATAACAAGTAGAAAGAAGACCAAGTGAAGGAACAGCTCTTACCAGTGAATGAACACTTAATTTTGGGTATTTTTTTAATGCTCTTTATGAATTTATAAGCCATACAAATACTTAAGAACAAGCCTATTCTTGAAATTATAACATATCAATACTTGGAAAATGCTAACTTTTTTTTGTAATCATGAATTGAAAATTAAAGTATCAACATATTAACACATACTGTTCATTCACTGGGATATCTATGCCCAGTAAATGAGCATGTCTGTTCCCTCACTGGTTAGAAGTTGTTTTTCGTATTATTAACATACTTTTGATGCGGAACATCACTAAAGGTACAAGAAAATTAAAGTTTATTTTTTATTTTCATTAACTTAGAAAAAAAACCAGTAAAGGAACACTTGTTCCTTCGCTGGGTTTTCATCGTTTGGTGATCCAGTGAATAAACACCACCTTATCTCAATACTTTATTATGCTATGATGCTTAAAAAAAATAAAACGTAACTTTTATAACTATATTTTGAATTCTCTTTTTCACAGTGAAAAAAATGAAACTATTACATGCAATAAATTCCACTTCAAACACATAAATACAAACACCCACTTTATAATTTTTTCAAAGAAACAAGGTGTTGCAGAGATAATAACAAATTCAAAAATTTTTCCAGAGAAGTCTATTTGACCAGGTAATCCAAAACATTGCTAGATGACTTCCTATTGTTTGGCAGTAAGCTATTGTTACCAATCAATCTAAAGAAAAACTTTCAAATTCTTATTTTTAATCAATATATATGAAATGTTCCTTCACTGGGTAGTGTTCCTTCACTGATTGGTTTACCCTATATATCAACTACATTAAGAATAATAATGAATTTATTTGTAATAGAATTAGACATATTCTAGACTGGAGCAGGGTTCTCAGCAAGCTACGGCACCCTAGGCTGAAAATCGTCAAAGATGTTTTTAGCTAAATTGTCCTTATCTTCATCATTATTATCTCGCTTATCATCAAATAAAACAAAATATACCGAAGCCAATAGTTATGAAATTATAGGAAGGATTAAGTAAATTCTGTAAGCTACTATTTTGATCGGTTAAGTCATCTGAAATTTAGAAATTCAAAAACTCACTTCAACATATGTTTTACACAAATATCAAAGACGAAAATCAAATTCATTTTTCTAGACGTTTTAAGTAGTGTCCTCCCCCTTAAACATAAACCCATTTCAGTGCTGCCATTATTCATAAGCATTTCTTTAAGCTTAAAATTTTTATATTATTTATTTATTTGGTATTTTTATTAAGTTTAAAAGTATTTTTAAAACAAGACAAAAATGAGCTAATGAAAGTGACAAAAAAAACTATAAAAAAACAGAGCATTTAAATATCGGAAGCAATTTTTTTTCAAAAATTATTACGTTTTAAACATAACGACAGAGCTAACCAAAGCCTTTTGAAATTGTTATAGCTTGCAGGAAATGCATTTTTAATAAAATTACGAGTCAGAACTGGGGCTTAATTTCATTTTTTAAAATCAGCAAAGTTTGCTAGAAAAATCAGGGCTCATACAAGCAATTTTTAAAACGGTATAGCAAAACATTTTGCGATGCAGAAAATTCAACATAATCATTGCTTTTGACTTATTGCAAAAAATAAATTAAAAAAATTACTGGATGGTAAAAAAATATAAATCAGAATTTATTAAACCATGTTGAAAAGGCCGAAAAATCGATAAATAACTCTCATAGAATAAGGTGAGTTTACGACGAAATCGTTGCGATTAAGTACGCCAAAAAATTGGTACTCAAATTTGAAATTCATGCGTCGTAAAAATATTATATAAAAAAAATATCGGAATTTTTATGATCATTTAAAAATGCCGCAAAAACGAAAAATAGCTCAAATAACTGCCGAGAAAACAACATAGATTTACGGCAGCATCCGCGTGAATCATGCTCAACAAAAAGTAATTACAGTAGGGAACCGATTATCCGGAACGATCGGGACGCACTCACGGAAATGCTCNAAAAAAAAATGGCGGGAAAATTTATCGAATTTCGTTCCGGTTTTTTGGTTTTCCGGTTTACTGATTTCCGGATAACGGGTTCTGTACTGTACTTACAGTCGATCTTCGGGTATCGCAAAAGTATTGTATTAAAAATACTGAAGTTTGAAAACTCATGTGGAGATTGTCGGAAAAACGATAAATAACTATCGCAAATGAAAACGAAAAAAGATGAGGATTAACGATAATGGGGGCGTCAAGATGTGATAACTCTAATTCGAAATTCATATGTCGTAATAACATCGAAGAAAGAAAAATTAAGTGAAAAAAAGAAAGGAAATTCAGACCACCAGAAGTTACTAGCAATTTTTGCTACTGCGTTCTTCTGTAAACTATTTTACTTCTTCAACTAGCTATTTGCTACTTTCTTAAATAGCACCAAGAACTGAAATAGCATCAAGAGATCCATCAATATTCTTAAATCAACTACAATTAAATCATATATTTAAATTAAACAAGTAAAAAATAAAAAATCAATAAATAAACAGGTGGAAAAAGGAGAAGAACAAAATTTCACCTCAAGGCCTAATTCTTATTTCTAACTCCGGCTTCTGAATAGCATAAAAGAAAAGATTCACGGTCTAATTTTTTAATTCAAACTATATTTCCTTTTGTGTTCGATTTTTTTTTTATTCTTCCTTTCATCTACTTGGAAATAAATATGTGGGCCGGTCGAATAAACTTCATTCATGAAAAATAATGCCCTCCATTAATCCTGATTACTTCGCTTCCGGTGGAAAATAACTACTTCACAGGAGTAAATGAACGTTCTAAGTGTCAGGAAGGGGGGGGAGGGGAATGGAATTCCAGAGAACATTAAAAAAAATCTCAGAAGGATACGATGGAGATGAGGAGGGAGCGGGGGAGAGAGATACTTAGTGAACATTATTCACCCTCTGGGTAAAGAGTGGACTGAACCTGTAGTTATCCTTACTTACTCAGAAAAATCGGTTCAACGTTACACCATATTTGGGTATCTTGATCAATAATATGGTGCTAATTTAGCGCAACCTTAATAAAGGGTTAAATTGTACCATATTTTCATTCAAGGTGAATCTTCGCGCAATCAAGTTTAAAAAATACGATAAATTGGACAATAAAATTTTGGGGCTTGTTGAACCATAGCATCGTTTAAATCTGCTGCCCGTTTACAAGGTCTTAAATTGAACCATATATTCGTTCAAGTTAAACTATAACATAGTTACTGAACCATCGTGTAATCAGGTTTAAGAAATATGATAATCTGGATAATAAAATTACGAACTTGATGTACCATAATACCGTTAAAATCTGCGAAAATCTTATTAAGTTGTTTAATTGATTTATATATTCACTTAAGTTGAACTATAATATTGTCGTTGAACCACACTAGTAATCAGGTTTAAGACATATGATAATCTGGACGAGAATGAAATGTTGGAACCTATTGAACCATAATAGCGTTTAAATCTGCAGTAACTTTAATAAGATGTTAAATGGAATCATATACTCGTACAAGTTGAACGAAAGCATTGTTATTGAACCATAATACCGTTCAAATCTGCGGAAACCTTATTAAGTTGTTTAATTGAGATTTATATATTCACTTAAGATGAACTATAATATTGTCGTTGAACCATCGTGTAATCAGGCTTAAGAAATATAATAATCTGGACGAGAATAAAATTTTGGAACCTATTGAACCGTAATAGCGTTTAACTCTGCAATAACTTTAATAAGATGTTAAATTGAATCATATACTGGTACAAGTTGAACTAAAGCATTGTTATTGAACCATCGTGTAATTAGGTTCAAGAAATATGATAATCTAGATGATAATAAAATTTTAAAGCCTGTTGAACCATAAGAACGTCTAAAACTTCTCCAAACTTAATAAGATATCAAACTGAACCAAATATTTGCTCAATTTGAACTATAGTATTTTTGTTGAACCATCGTGTAATTTGGTTTAACTAATACGATAAACTGGAAGATAGTAAAATTTTATACCCAAAAAGTCATAAAACCGTTTAAAACAGCAGCAAACTTAATAAGATATTAAATTGAACCATAGAT